AACTGCACGTGGGGTATAAGCTTATCACTATAGACTTAGTAACTAGATATATTACGTTTATCAATGCCAAGCAATGCATTGGTCAGTTGCCTGTACATATTTATCAATACCACTCAGTTTGAAATCCATTTCCAACGACTTGACATACAGGGATCATCGATCTGAAACCCAAATCTAATTATGATGACTTATACTTGATCTAATTTCCAGTATCTAGTCACTGGAAATTACCTATCTTCAAATGTTCTTTTCTTCAGATATAACGTTTAACTGACTTTTTCTGAAAGTCAAAGCTGCAGGCTAAAGAGCAAGAAATCTCATTTCCGAAAGATAACTATAAATAATTATGAACAATGGCAGGTCCAAGTAAAATTAACATATATTTAAGAGTAACCAAACAATATTTCCTTTCAATTTGCGTAAACTTTGTGAATGTATGACATGTAGTGAATTTGTGTTTTTTAAGAATTAGCTTTTACTTCATTTCAAAAATAACAAACATAATTTAAACAGTTTTAAATGCTAACTCTCAAGAAATATATTAATATATGATATGTAATGTTCAAAACAGGAAAATATATTTTTCAAGCCTACAGAATTGCTTTAATAACATAACAATACTATTTACATTTGTAGCCACTTAACTACATTACAGCTAAGAAATCCGATACCCTTTAACTACAATTCTTTTAATTAAGTTTTGGTATTTTATTAAGGCAAGATAGTTATTAGGGATTCATCTTTTTTACTTCCTTCTACAAAGTAAAGGAAGTATTGGAACAGCGAAACATTTCCGGTATCATATTTCAACAGAAATATCTGTTTTGACTGTTGTAGAGACATTAGCTAATTTGGAAGCAGGAAAGATAAAAAATGAGCAACCCCCTTCGCCGGGAATCGAAACACGGACCTCTGGAATACCGGCCCAGCGTGCAGACAACCACACCACGAAGGCATGCCAAGAAAGTGTGAAAAATACCTTATGCTGTTCTCGAATCTATTTTTTCATTAAGTCTGTAGGTTTGGATAGAATACAGGATTGTTTTTTTTTTTTTTTTTTTTTTTTTTCCCCAAAAAGGATTGTAAAACGGATTAAAATGGATTCAAAGGACTTTTTGTAACGTCTGTATCCAAAGAAATAGAATAGGAGGATACTGAAACTGATCCGACACTTGAGGAACTGTTTGAGATAGTTTCTGTATTATTGAACTGTCCTACTGTATCATCGGAAGAATTCGTTGCAGTAGCTGATGATAATGTGTGTACAGCACCAATTATGGCAGACAAAGACATTTTGGAGTTTCCTCAAAGCTAAAAAAAAATATCATTGATGCAGATTCCGACGATGAAAATGAAATGAATAATGCAACTCCTGTTCCCAAGTCATCCGAAATGAAGAACATCATGAAAAGTATGATAAGTTATTTAGACGCATATTCCAATGGTGAAATGAATAACAAAATAGACGACATCGAAAAATTTGTTGAAAATTTGATGCTAAAAAAGACAATGCGAAGAAAAATAAAAAAGATTATTTTCCAAAGAAAGATTATTTTCCAAAAACTCTATAACTGTTTTCTTTTTCAAAAAACTTGAAAATGTTGTATTAAATTAAGTTCTTGTGGATGTTTTTGCTTCATCGATTTTTATTAAATACATGCATGTATACATATATATGTCAATAAAATTAACTCTAATAAACTTAATTTTGTTGAATACATGTTTTTTTTTTTTTTTTTTTTTTTTCATTATCCTTTAACACGAAGTTCTTTTAACACGAAAAAATATTTCAGTCCCCTCAATTTCGTGTTAAACGATTTTCACTGTAGATTAATTACATACATACGCATATATATACACATACATTACATTTCTGAACCCCGCATCGACAAGATAAAAGTACCTAATTTTATTACTGTTACATAATTAAGATTTTTTTTTTTTTTTAATATTGGACAGCTTAGAATGTTTTCTCAACAGTTATATCATTTACTCGGATACCTTTTCATTTTCAAAAGACTGTGGCTATTAAGATCTCAGGAATTTTTCTTTTTTTGCGTCTCCTTCGCTTTTTTCTATGGGAAGAGAGAAGGGAGGAGGAAGTGGGCAGTGGTAATCCGAGGACTGCAAAAGATTACAAGGTAACATAACACATGCAATTCATAAAAGTGTTGCGACGGTTGGTTTTCATACCTAACTACAAAAATTATCTTGTTAATCTGTTTACTCCCTGGGCACGCACTCGATATTTTTCCTGTTAAATATGAAAATTTATTTAACATCGCAGCATTTTCTGGTGTCCTTTAGTATGAGAGTGTATCGTGTTGTGTTGTGTGACTTTTCTCACTTGTCTGACAGTAACATTAGAACAAACCAGCGAAATTCATCGTTGCAAGTAGAACAAGATTGCGCCTGCCGTTGGCTAGAGACTTGAGCACCCTTACAGATGACAATACCTCTATAGTTCCTCCCCAGTTTTGATGGAGAGCACCCCCCTGGGGGACGGGTCAGAGGGTCTTCAGCCCCCTCTTTTCCTACCCCTAACTTCTCGAGAGGACTTTCGGCTCGCCATGTATTTAGAGTGCCTCCTTGTGCAAAAGCACTATAGATTTACAAACATTCATGCCTTCTTGCGGATTAAAGCCCGGCCCTTCGGTATTGCAATAGGTCCCCTAATCACTACCATTTTTTCAGCAGAGTGTATCGTAATAATATCCAAACTTTACATGCTGAATATTATTAAAATTTAAAATTTTTATTTTCTAGTTACTGTTACTAATTTTAATTTTTAATAAATTTTTAGGAGAGATCAAAATGAAATATTCATACTGATTTTTTATGGCTATAATAAATGTTGTCTGTACTCAAAATACTAATAATGTTTTATTTTTAAAGAGATCAAAATCTTTTAACGTATTACTGTGCTTTTTTAAAAAAAAACATTTTCATTGCAATATTTTAGTATCGTACCATTCGATTATTATTCTGTTAGTCTCCTTCTGATTTAAGCAGATTTAACTTTAAATATGTAAATAATTGTGTAAAGACGTGGCAAGGAAATAAACACAGTCAAGTAGATAATAAAAATTCTAGAATGCTTGGAGTAATGAAAATTCAGATTTGAAACCTTGAATGCTTTACTTTTTTATGACTTTCAAAACACATTCTCTTCTCATTTGGATCGATGGCAGCCATGATATTTTATAACAAATAACTTCATGATCACACATAATCAGAAATATCTTCAATTTTGGAATAGCTACAGTTTCATTTGCGAAACATCCTTTCTATGCTGACAATGGACCGTAGTAATGGTCTGAAACAATATACCATTCTATAGTTAAAAAATTCTTAATCAAAACTGTTTTATTTTTCAGGCACTGATTTTTTCGCATCACCTCAAATTTCTTCGTTTCTGCGAAAGAATGGTAGATCAAAACTTAATGTCTGACATCAGCATTGGTAAGAAAGATATCTCATAAATTTCACATATTTTTTTTTTAATTTTAAAATTGAACACACAGATGTTTTCCTGTTTTGTAGATTATAGTTTTTACGATACGCCAAGTGACGAATTCAAGGACAAAGGCCTGGGATCTCTGTTGCCTTTATGGAAATTTAATTATCAACCCATGAGGGGTATGGCCATTACAGGCTTGAGCTGGAACAGTCGCTATTCTGACATGTTTGCAGCTGCTTTTGGATCCCGTAAGTCCCATTCATAAAAACAAATTATTAAATTTATTATAAATAATTTAGACTATAATTCACCGATTCTGATCCGAAATCACAATATTTCGCGTAAAAAGCTTAAAGTGTTATTTTCCTATTTAGATGAAAAGAACATTTTATACTTTATGTATGAGTTAGCTGAGTATTTATTAGCCCTTTCAGCTTAGTTTAATAAATGAAAGTTTGAAATTAAGGAAACCTAAGAAAAAATATTACAAAATCCGAAAGCTTTCAGATTTTATAGTTTACTAGTTTACACCAGGGGGACTTTGCTTAGCGTTTTGTGTGTTACCTTAGTTTATTAAATATCAAGTTCTTCACACTTGAATATATAAAATTAAATTCAACAGCAATATCACAAAATATTTGAAAAGAACATATCTTTAAAATTTCCTATTGACAGTCTTGCGCGCTGGAGATAATTTTTTTTCGTACAGTGTTGCCATTGCTCGCTTTGAAATCGTTGAGTTTGCTAATCAAAAATTCGCCAAGGTTTTACAAAATATAAAATAGATAATAAAACAAATACGAAATTCAAAATTTGGGCTTCCAGGTGCCACTCTTTGGGTGGAGGATTACGTTATTCAAAATTTGATGGCTCTAAGTACCGTCGTTTTTTTTTTTTTTTTTTTTTTTTTTTTTACAATGCGAGAAACATACATATATTCATGCAAATTCTCCATTATTTAATTTTTTTAATATAATACAGGGCGGTAATATTTGGTGGTAAAAATTTAAAAAGTGATTCGCTATTTATAATGAAACGCCATAAAATAAAATGCCGTTTTGTCACAAAACAGCCCTCCTGGGCTACCTCCCCTTTGGGGTAATAAGTTGATTATTAACAATGATTTAGTCAATTTAATTATCTATTCAACAATGATTTAATTCAGAATAAGCAAAGTTTTTCTTTCTATACATCATGTACGTTCTTCTCAACTCTCTACACAGTCTTCTATGTATGCTGATTTCAGATATGCATTTAGGATTTGCTGGTAGAGTTTTAAATGACATCACTTAGCATATGAAAATGCTTCCTGAGAATATGAAGTTTAAATTATATGTATGCAGGTATACTGAAATTTAAATTACGAGGAATGTTTTGATTTGTGTCATAAGTTATCTGTAATCACAAATAATTGTAATCACAAATGATGCTGTCATTCTTTATAAAGAAGAGAAATTACCATTAGTTCATTACCACCCCTTCATCCAGGTTATAGATGTGAATGAAACATTTTAAAATTTTCGTAAACAAATTTTAAAATAATTCTACAAAAAATTCAGCAGGAGAAATACAAGTGAAATGTTGTAGGGGTTTTTATAAAAGGAATTATTGTACTCTTTGGAGTTTTATTGAACTGCACAAAATTCTTTCTTTCCCAAATATGAGAACAGAAATATGTATCAAGAATCTGAGTAACGTTTAGCTCAATTAAGCGCTTGTAAATCCTGAAACATTATATCTCACTCCATTACATATTAAACTAACACTACTAAATTCAAATACACTGGGATTATAAATGTGTAAGATACAAATTTCTTAATGTAATGCAAATAATATTCCGAGGAGGCATTTTGGATCAGAGGAGGTATTTTGAATGACCACAAATTGGAAAATTATTTGCGAAGCAGAAATTCAGTCAACCTAATCCCATTTAAAAAGCTGCATGATGTTCATGAAAAAATACTCACAAACATTTCGCGGAAAGTGTAAACAGAAAAGCACTTAAGCACACAATATACATCCGCACGCACGCATTTCCTAAAACTTCATTTTTTGCATCCTCAATATTTCCTTGCTCACAGTTTCGAAGCGGGTACTGTGAAAAGATGTTAAAAACACAAGCGTGCAGTGTGCTTGCTTACGTCTGCTAATCAGTGTGCTTGCTTACGTCTGTTCCTCAAGTTTTATACAGTGGACAATCTTGCACTTCTATCTTTCATTATTTGTAGAATCGGTACTTACTGTCTAGGAATATGATGTCTGTAAATTTACTTCTTTTGTGGCTGTCTAGGGGCTAATAAACTAGTCCAATTTACAAATAACTTGAATATTTAAATGGAAACATGAATAGTTGCTACAAACTACAAAATGATTAAATGTGTAGAAGGATGAATTTACATAGGTAATGTTTACAGATGAAGAGAATCGACCGTCTTTTACATGTAAACATCTTTCAGTCACATCATCGTCTTAATGGCGGAATCGTCTGCATCATTTTCATTTTACTATGGATTTTGCCCGGTACCAAGGCTACTGACTTTATCATCATTAAATTCGTATATCACGTTACAGTCTATTTCTCTATGAGTATTAAGATATAGGTACTTCCGCCTCAGACGAAAGAAAAAAAAAAAATTCTGGGACTTGTATATATTATTTTCCATTTTTACTGTACGATATTGTGTCAAATCTACGATAATGTGTAAAAGATATGCCAAAATTATTAGTTGCTATTATAGCTTATCCAACGAAGACTTCATCTGTGGCCGATATATGGCGTCACCCCGATATTGTTAGGAAATATCCAGCCGCGGTAAGATAGCTTCCCCTCAAAGCAGGTTTAGGGTTTCCAGAAAATGGCAAGTTAAGGGAGGGTTGCCACATTTGGCGATAAATCGCTCATTTGGCGACAAAATTGGCGATATGCCATAGACGCATGGCGAACCTTCTAGAACGAATTCGTACTGATTTGGACCAGAAGGTTCTCGAATGCAAGCCAAAAGCTATATAAACCCTGCTGCTACACGGAGTGTGGAGTCCATCGAGTTGATAGTCAGTCAGTGGGTGCCTAATTGAGTCAGTTAAGAATCAATAAGTGAGTGTCTCGAAGTCTAGTGCTGAGTTGGTCGTCGAGTGCATCGAGGGAGTCTCTTAGCGTATCGCGAGTTAGTGCATCGTCGAGTTTTATCTTATATAGTGCGATGAGCTCCGAGAACGACCAAACCGAGTCGGCAGCTCTACTCTAGTGTATCGTCGAGTGCATCGCGAGTGCATCGCGAATTGTTGCGTGGAGAGTCTCGAAAGTACGTAAAGTTTCGAGAACGACTGAGCAGAGTCGGGAGCTGTACTCTGGTGCTTTGCCGTGAAGCCATCGTCACCGTTATAGCCTGATAGCGGAGTGTCTCGAGAGTACGTAAAGTTCCGAGAACGACTGACCCGAGTCGGAAGCTGTACTCTGGTGCTTTGTCTTGAAGCTGTCTGCTGCGTTATAGCCTGATAGCTTGTCGCTGATTATTTTAAAGTGTTTATGGTAGTTCTTCGACGACTGTAAACGTGTTATTGGACTCTCTTGAATAATATTGGCTAATAAATTGTGTTTTGATACTTCATCAAGTGTCATCGTTGTTCACTCCAAATCCACTAACCCTTTAACGTGAAGGGAAAAACGCAACAATAATTTGACTTGTAATACAAGAAAACAGTAACTATTTGTTCTCAAAATAATTAGTTGAAGAAAAGCACGCGAGCTTTGCTGACATAAAACCGTGCCTTTATCAAGATTCAAATTCAAAAGCTTCTGATGGTTAGCTGTGTGTACTGACAATTACATCTGTGGGACAAATGGACAAAATGTCTTTAACTCAATATGCATCGTTTCAAATATACGGTATTTACTACTTGAGAGTAAGCCAACCCGGACTTCACATTAATTTAGCGCTGAGGCCTAAAAATAAAAGGCGAATAATTCCTATGTAAATGAGTTTAAATGTAGTACTGGAGCGTGAATGTAGGCTATCTAATTTTGCATTCCATTCCTTTTTTATTTATTCTATTTGTTCTGGAAAACAATGTAATAAATTAGTGTGTAAATTTGGAATGTCTAATTTTATACTCTATTTTTGTACTTCTAGAAAGTTTCGTAAAAATCAATTGCAAAGAAATTTAATAACATAAATTATAGAAGAATTGAAATAAAATACATCAATTTACAAATAAAGTAAAATATTAAAAATATAGGTATATGGAATAGTGTGCAAACATTTTTGCTGCAAAGTACGAACTCGGAAATGTTAATAATAAGCTTTCATGGTAAGCTTACAAAATGAAGAAACAATAATTGTTTGATTTTCCGTTAATAGTGACCCTTTTCCTGGTGATCTTATCTGTTAGAGGTATCTAACTGGCAGTTAATTCTGAGAAAGTAAACTGTACCAATTCCTCCTTTAGTTTCTGTATTATAACATTATTTCCACAGATACTTTCGATTTCTGATAATGCTCTAGCGAGGAATTTATTATGAAATAAATTTCTCAGGTAAATCTGTTTCGTAAAACTTTGCTTGTAATACTAGCTATGAATTATAGAACACATTAAGTAAAAATTATCTAACTATTTGCTTTGGGAATATCTCTGTGGCGATTTTTAATGATCCGTTTTCATTTACAAGACGATTCTGTGCAAAAATCCTTTTGGTAAAATGTAATTTACAGAGTTAGCAGAACGGAAACTTTCCCATGTAAAATCTTGTTCGAAACAAGTAGATTTTAAACAGAAGTTCTGAGCTATTCGAGACAATTTGTTTGATCCAATTTTCATGCAATCCAATGTTTTCAATAACGTCTTCCAAATGAATTTCTACTGTAAAATTTTGAGACTTTAACAGCGTTCCCTTTTCTTATAAATTTCGAACATTCAAGAGTGCTTTTAATAGCTACATTTTCTAGCACTTTAGAAATAATTTTTTGGAAAACAGTTTCGTATAAGCTCAATAATTTTTATACATTTAAGTTAAAAGATAAGAAAGCTAAGTTAACAGAATACTATTAGAAGTTGTTAGATTGTTGGAATTCGTATACCTTTTGAAGATATTCAAGTGTAATGAGCGTTATTTTGTCTGAGCCTAAGCTGTCTTAATTGTTAAATTATCATTTAATTTTTTACATACTTAATAGAAACAAATTTATTATGTTTACCCTCAGATGACGTCACAATGCGTCATAGGTCAGGATGTGTATGCATATTTAGTTTGAAATGCCCGTCCCATCCAGAGAAAGTTATTTCTTGTAAGTCTGGTGTCTGCTGCGTGGAATTCAGCCCGTATCGGCCTCATCTTTTAGCCGTTGGACTCGCGGATGGATCAGTGGCGGTGCACGATGTCCGCAAAGCAGGAAGCTCTCCAGTTGCCATCAATAAGAACTCAAGACTTGAGCACAATGATGCCGTCAATCAGGTACGTAAGTTTCTGTGATACGGAAAATAACTAATGCATTTAGAGATATCATAAAAATGCGAGGGTAAATTAATTGCAGCTACTTCTTAATGTTCAAATTTCTTTGTTCGGCTCATATGGCTGAAACTCTGAACTAAAATGCATCGCAGAATCTACGGAATATAAAACTAAAGATCATAAAATTATTTCAAGAGTGTTTGGTTTCATGGAAAAATGGGATTCGAAACCTAAAAGTTATCTTATATTTCATCAACCACATACGATGCTTCATAATTTGCTTTGATGATTTTATATTGCAATATATAACTAAGCAAATACATTTTTACTATACAACATTCACCAATATTACGTCATAATATTAAAGCTGAACTCGTCTCGTTTTGGAAAAAATCATCTTATTTCTCCTTTATTGCAGGTAGATTTTCTGGGAATTTCTTTAAATATGTATTCAAGAAATGGATTTAATATTGATTAAAAAACAAAACTCTGAAGTTGTTTTAGCATAACGTCAACAAACATTTTGATTGCACATTTATATTTCTTCTTATTCCAAGAACAGTCGCACCTTTTGGAGAAATTCCATTCTTCTTTTTCTATTTCAGTTATTATCATTTCATGAAAAAGATAAGATAAAAGCTGTCTTCAGATATTTAGGCTGATAAAAGTACTGTCAGTTACTTTAATTTTACTTTTGATAGACTAGAGAACTCTGAAATAGACTTTCGTTTCAGAGGTACCTAGACTATTCCTCGTAATTTTGTACTGATTTAAAAAAAACCATGCTTCACAAGACTTATTTTTAAGAACTTAGCCTGGCAGATCATATCAAGATGTGATACGATCTTCTTCTTCAAGAAGTTTACTCAATATTTCCTTCAAATTCTAGAAATCTTTTCAGAACCCATTTTCCCTCCAGTTTAGTCTCTTTGCTGTATTAGCTGTCATACTTTCACAAAAGAAACATGGGAATTAGCTAGAAGAACAGAGCTAAGACAGAGCTAGAATTAAACGCAATATCTTTAGTTAATAATTCTGAGAATTTTCCAGTTGACACACTTAACCGAATATCTTAATCCTGGATAATAACTTTAATTTATATTATGTATTATTTTCCTTGCGAATATTATATTTTGATTTATTTATTAATATCAAGTTTGTGTTCCATTTGTTTCACAAATATGCCGAATCATGTTTTTACTATTTCTAAACCAATACGCAAGAGGTATCGAAGATGCATTAATCTTTTTTCTAAATTAAATGTATTTTCTTGTTTTCGTTGTTGAAAACTACTGATTTGTACAAACATGATGCTGGTAAAGTTGCGAATTTTAAAAATGTTTATTTAGATCTGAATATTTCTTGGATCATTTCATGGAGCCTCATAACACGTTAGTATGTTACGATACCTCAGCTAGAAACACAGCTCTAAGATTTGAAGAAATTATGTTGTCACTATCATTATACTTTTAATTCGAGAGAATAGATTCCACATTCTCTTATCTTCCGTTGAGATGTACTGAGTGAACGTGAGATATAAAGGCCTACCTTGTTGGCTTTGTCGGAAAGAAAAACTTTAAGAATTCTTTTACAAAAACCAATAGGACGTTCAAATTCATTCCTTATAATAGTTATAAAAGTGTTTTGCGTGAAACTATCAGTATCACTGTAGTAAACTAAATCCTTCTGCAAGAAATAAGTTCATTTACAGTTCCTAACAAGTACACTCACGGTCCACTTGCTATTAAACCATATCATTCTTTCGGAAACGGAATTCCTTCTTTTCTGCCTTTTGCGAAAAATTGTCCTGCATCTTATTTAGGTTACTTTAAAGACAAGGTGTTGGCAGACTGCCAACCACGTCGAGCTATCCTTGGTCAGACAACATCTGACTACCACTTCGCCTTTGCTTATAATACACATCTACCTGAGTATAACACAGCTAGCCATTATAAGAAGCACTTGATATTCAAGATAACTAGCCATAACCGGTCAGTAATACTACAGTTATTGATGCGGGCTAACAAAGTGTTGGCTATACTATCCGACAAATCCTAATATTACAGCCAGTTAATAAATGAATTTTTGACTATTTCATTAAGTATTTTAAGAGTGTTTAAGTGACATTGTATTATTTTTTGATTGAATTAAAATTGATACGCGAATTCCCATTTAACTAATTTGACGACTCCAAATTCCGACACCTATATAAACTCTTGTCTCAGTATCGAAAAGTTAGGATGTGCGTTTGCATGTTTTTTATTAATCTTATTTAAGAACATGCCTGTGGATCCGCCGGCTATATTCACAATTTTGACTATATATAACATTTTGCAGTAGACATATACAGTTAAATAAGAGAACACAAATCAGTATTGTCCGTTACTTGCTGGCACTTAGAAGTACATATAAATAACACTTAAAATTACTCTTCTAATACTTTAATGTTAGGAAACAACTGCTCAATTTTAATCTCGTTTAATAACTCAAGTAAGGTGCTTTAGATTTCTGTATTTTAATGCAGCATTTGCCCTGTAAGCAGATGTCTAAGTTTGGAATCACGTTCAATGAATAGATTTAAAAGAAAATAGTGTCTGATAAATATAGATTTAAAACTAAAATTAAATTGAGCATCTGGTAATACGTGAAAAAAAAATAACGACAGCAGTTAAAATGAAGAGTGATATAAAACCGAAATAAGGATTAATGTAGATGTGGATAAACTCCGAGTGAAATTTTAAGCGAGATGGAAAAAGTAGGTCTTTCAACTATATTTTAATTAACATATTATATAAATTATAACCTTCATTGCTGTCGCTTAAAAGTTGTTTCTGAGTACAACTTTAAATTATTGTAAATCAATGTATGTGTAGTAAGCTCGGATGTAAACCCAATTCATTTTATTGTTATACGTTTAAATGGTAATAATACGTTTAGTTAGCAGTTCTGCATCTTGCTGTTATAAATCCTTAAAAGCAGTCATACGAATTGCATCATATAAGCAGTTGTACTATTTGAGATTTGCATATATCTTAATTATCTCTTATTATCGAAATACTTATTCTTCCCTCTCAACAATGACTACTGGTGTAAACGAGAGGAGGCAGAGAACTTCAGACTTATAGAAAATTAATTACAGCGACAGTAAAATTATTGATAATTACTATTAATTCCTTATTATTTGATATACTGTAAAATTCGAATTCAGTAAGTAATTAAATTAAAGTAATTTACTGTTAGTATTAAAGGCAATGTTAACTTAGCTAGAATATATACTTCAAATACTACTTCGTCATTTTTCGATGTTCTGCTTCGTTGTCCTAATACTATGCTTGTGCATCTTATGCGCTAAACAAATATTATTTAGTTGCTTTCCTGTTTATCTGGCAAATCTAATAAAAACTCTTTCGTAATGTATAGTTGCTTTTGATAAACCTGAGACCTCACTTTCTAAGTTCCAATAAATGCCCACGCGGACAAAAAAAAAAGTTTTAATAGTGTGCGAAATCCAACCTAAAGAAAGCATATTTACTTTATTTTAAGCATATTTATAAGCTCAATTAACTTCATTGCCAACGCAATTTTATAGTTTAAAACGATATGCAGTGGATATGTTTCATGCAATATACTGTAAATTTTGTAGAATAACTAAGATTAAAAATTATACTTTTTTAAGGTAAAATGGCTGCCTGATAACATCGATGGCCAACCGAACTTTTGTTCTATTTCTGCCGATTGCAAAGTGATTGATTGGATACTTGCTAAGGTGAGTGTGTTTATGTATAATAAACCATATGGCTTTTCAGAGAACAGTTACATATCAAATTTCTTCCCCTCCTATTAAATTTTTGCTTCTAAAATGAATTTAAAACGCCTATTTACGCAGCTTTTCTAAATACAAACCTAACCCCTCAAAACATTTCTCACCCAAGAAAAAAAAAACAGTTATGTAAACCGAAGGCTGCAAAAGCCGTCCAAACATTACTCTATTATCTAGGGCAGCGGTGGCCAACTTTTTTGTATATAAGATCTAATTTTTATCTTAAAAGTGTGTCGCGATCGACTGGTTGTCATAGGTGTAGTCTTAAGGTGGAAGAAGGGTGTAAAATACATACAATGTTTATACACTGTATTTCAGTATAAGGATCATTACAGCGAGATACGGGTAGATAAGTAAAATATATGTTCAAAACTATTTTTATTTTTTAAATTACTTATTAAGTTTTCGAAATATAAGCTCATAAAAATAAATTTCCAAATCCAACTTTTAATAGCAGCATTCAGTACATCTGGTACCTAAAAAATTCGATTTTCCTACACTTTTTCAAGATAGATTTTTACTAACTTAAAATACAATTTAATTTTTTTATCTACTGCCATGTATAAGTTGTTGCACTATTTGTTCATTAATAAAAGTTGTTATAAAAATGCACAGTATGGCTGATAATTTGATTTCAATATTTTACTTTCGCATTTTTCTGGGCCAGGAGAATTTATCATGAAAGAATAACATGACTTTTTTGCTCATCTATCAATAGCTTGCTGAGCATACCTCGTACTGAAATATTTTTTTTCCAATACCGGCCACTTGCCATTGCCAGCAACGGCCACTTCTAAGGTGATATCTTTATTATGGAAGCACCTAATAGGTGGGCCACCTTTGCCTCCTATGAAGAGACAGACAATTTACATCCATGCCTTCTCCAGGATTCGAATCCGGGCCCTTCGGTATCGTAGTCAGGCTCCCCTAACCATTATACTGTCTGGGCGGCTCGTACTGAATTATAGATGTAAGGTTTATCTACTTACGTAAAAAACAACAAAACAACAGCAATAATTATTTAAAGATCTCGAAAACTCATGTCAAAGGAAAAGAAAAGAACACGGATAATTATTAACAATATTTATTAATTAAAAGTAACAGATAAACAGATAACTACAGATAAAGACAGATTTAAAATTTATTTTGTTGACTTAACATCAATGGAAAGACTGATTTTGCATGTCTCTAACCAAGGAATCATAATTAGGTGTATAATCCTGACAAAGATAATATTAATGAGTCTTCAGTATGGGAATCAATCAGGTCAGAACGTTGTTTATCCTTCGTTAGTTTCAAGTAGGAAAATGCCGATTCGCATAGGTATGTAGATCCGAAACAAGAATATTCGCTACATGTTGTGATACTGAGAGATTTTTCTCGGTTGACATATTTCCAAAAATCATCTTCACATTTTCGGGCTTGTAAGAATCAGTTATACTTTCCTTTTCTAATGCTTTTGATCCATATGAAATACGTCTGAAACTTTTTGGCTAATGAGTTTTACACTTAAATCTTTTTTAAAAGAAAAAGGTATAAATTCCACTATTTCTTTAATTATTTTTCAAAATCCTGGAATCTTATCTCAAAATCTTCGAATACGTTTTGAATTTTGGACATATTTGCCGATCTTATAATTAATATTTTATGTTTTGTAAGTTATCCGTCATATTTAAAAAATGATTCAGATTATTTTGTTGTAGATCTTCTATTAGCAAAATAGATTTTGTTTTTACATACGACTATGCAGTTGATTATATCAATTATTGTTTTATTTTTACCTTGTAATTCTAAATTTAAATAAATAAATTTGAAGTAAAATTAGTAAGAAATGCTAAGTCACTGAGCCAAGTTTCATCATTTAAATTTTCACAGTTTCCATCTTGTTCGTGAAGAAAATCTATAATTTCAGGCAATAAATCACGAAATCGCTGCAAAAATGTACCTCTGCTTAGTCATCTGATATCGGTATGTAGTAATAATTCAGGCAGGTCTTCATCGAGCTGCAGTTGGAAGAGACGCCGTTTGAAGGAATATCCTCGAATTGAATTAACAATTTTAAATGCTATGTCCATTACCTCTTTTGTGTTCAGGCTCTTGCTAGCTAACACTTGCTGATGAAATATGCAGTCATAGCTTAAAAAGGCAGAGAATTCATCTTCCTTCTGACATAGGGCTATAAATCCATTTATGCTACCTATCATTTCAGCTGCGCCATCCGTTGTTATTGAGACTAATTTAAAAAGTGGTACTTTCAGATCATTGAGCAAGTACTTAAAGGCTTTGAATATGTCTACATATCTAAGCCTTTCTCCAAAGAAATCATACCCAACAATTCTTCTTTAAATGTAAAATCCTTAAAAACCATATGAACGAAAACAGTAACTGTGCCATATCACTGATATCAGCCGATTCATCACACTGAAGGGAAAAACAAGAATATCTATTAATATAATTATATAACTACTCTTTTACATTCCCACTCATCCTTTCAATTCGACGCATCACTGTGTTTCGATACAATTGCAGATCTTGAATGACAGCTACAATTTCACTCTTGTTCTTAAAATTGTTAAAAAGTGAATCTGACATTTCTAAAAAAATTCCTTTATAAATTCAACGTCGGAGAATGTCTTACAATTTTTTTTTATTACAAAGAGTTACAAATTTTCAAAGAGTTTTTTTTTTTCTTTTTCTGAGCGACGATAGCTTACTTTGAATGATGCAGTAGTTACTGCTTGTGACTTCAACCTTGGCTTTTTAAAAACTCTTTGTTGATTTGTTAATTGAGTTTAAAGATCCTTAACTTTATGTTTTCTCTGTTCAAAAATTGGTGAATAATATGCTTGATACTCGTTATGTAAAACTAAAAACATGTCTCTCCAGGTTACACTTTTTAGCAATGGCTACTGAGGTAAGGCATATTAAACAACAACATTTATCGTCCGACATTTTAAAAAAGTAATCGAGTTCCCATTCTTCATTGAAGTGATAAGTTTCCGATTTCTTAAGTTTACTACTCATGTTCATGGGTATACTAGAATGCAAAGAAATATGACATTTTAAAGAATAAATATTGAATTAAATATTTTTCTAGAAAATTAAAAACTCATGAACTTCTGCTATTATCTCCATTACATTCAGAGAAATAGTAACAATATTGAATACTACGATCGGAGACAGCTACACAAGTGTATTAAAATTCAATACAGATATATTCAAAGTTACAAGAAGTATATTAAATTTACAATATATAATTATTACGGTTTAAATACCGAAATCTAAATTTAAACAGAATTATTGTTATTCTTAATATATGCGTAATACTGTACCTTATTTTTCTCTCAGTGTAATAACCGCAGTTTAGAGATATGTTGCCGAGAATGCTCACTTATCAAGTAAATAGATATGTAAGAAAAGGAATTTGATTTAAAACAAAGAAAAGGTACTTACATTTTAAACGGAAGAAAAATTGAAACCCAAAGTTGTCACTGATAATACATAATATTGATTAATAATAATACTGTTAATACAAAAGAAAAGAATCTACCGTATGACACTGCCAAATATTCAAGCTGAGTGCGTTTTTCGATGAATCGAACCCTAACAGTTGCATTCACGCATTGCGCCCGGTGATAACTGCAAAACTTAAGAAGTAAAAATATATTGTACTGGATGCGCGGAGATTACAGTATCAGGCTGCGAGAATTCTAGGACTTTATGACCTCGGCAGATTCGCAGAATTCATTAAACTATTGCTAAAAGGATTTAATTTCTACAATCGCTTCAAAGTCCATTGTATACCGCATTCCACTTCAGTCATTGAAAGCGATCGACGATCGACCAAAAGTAACCTCGCCATCGACCGGTCGATCACGATCGACTTGTTGGCTACCTCTGATCTAGGGTTACTATGACCAAAATGACAGAATACCAGAAACTCAAAAAGATGAGTTGCCATAATAAAAAAAAATCTTTCCAACGTCCGTTTTTCATTTGCGTAAGGGAACCTCATCTCGTAGGCGAAAGGAGTTCCGTAAAGCTTAATATCGTTTCATCGTCGAACTAATGCGTACGATTTCTTGCAATTTTTTCGTTCCTATTTTCCATGAAATCTATTAATGACCTTCTAATGTTCCGCAGTACTTTGTCTATGTTACAATGTCGAGAAAACTAGTGAATTCGCTGAATTCAAGTATTTACGACAAAGTCTTGAGAAAGATTAAAATACCCTTTTATTCACTCAAAGAAATAATAACAGATGGCCCCTTCTAGGCATTACAGGGAAGCCTTCATTCGGGCTTTTAGATCAGGATAAGAAAATAAGAAATTAATCTGATGCTAAACTAAACAGACTTAGCCGAAGCTAGACACAAATACCTAACGTAGTTGGCCCTTATTTAACCTTGTCGGCTTAATACTAAAAACACATTCTGGTAGAGAACAGTAGATGGGAAACGAGAATAGGCAGTAAGTAAAGCACGTTTAAACTTAAAATAACTGTTAGAAACTTAACGTAACCTCTACATCTTCCTCCAACAGAATTTAACTGCTCGAACAAAAAGGTCTCACAACGACCTTAAGAAATTTAGAACCAATTTTTCACAAAGACCAAAAATTGAAAGGCTAATTCTGGATAAAAAAAAAGGCAAGGACTTTAGTGGAAGAGAGATTTCAATAGATTTCATTGTTCCTCCTTCTGAAAAAGTGACATTGAGGTTGATTGAAATCCTGTTCTATTATGTTCTTTTTACTTTAAATTTCTTTGATTTTTTTAATTGGGGTATTGCTTGTTTGATGAGTTTTAGTTTTCACATTTATTGCATTCTTTATTGCAGTTATATGATTAATTTAAATTTATTACTTATGAATTTCAATTTTTGGTCTTTGTGAAAACCTGGTTCTAAATTTCTTACTTTATACCTATACTGATACTTTTTCAGCAGCTTAATACGCAAAAATTCTAGACATGATTATATTTTGTTTTAATTTTTTTGTAATTATGATATATATATAATTATATACGCATTTATGTATATTTTAAAATAAAAATAAAGGTGTACCCTGCTCTATGCCAATTAAATATATCCTAGAAGAATGGTGCTCCCGTTTACTCCCCCTCCTATTATTATTTTCTCCTATCCTATCTCCAATATTACTCCTCCTATTCCCTGAAGAATAATCATTATGTGGACTCTGAAACAGAAAGACATTTGGACCAAAACACCGAAAAATTTATTTTTAAATAATCTTATATTAAAAATTATACTTCACAATTATTTAATTAATTATGTTGATCAAATTTTTATGATTTACATTTCTATCCATTTGCTACTACATTAACGCCTTTTCTTTAAAAAGGATTCTCTACCTCTACGCCCTTTTTATACTTTAAGGGAGATATGTAAATACAAATTATAATTTATATTAGTAATAACTCGTTAATTCTTAACTTTAATTATTTTTATTTCCGCTCTTTATTCTAAAAATAATCTTTTTTTCCCCGCTGTGTCGTATTGAGATTGATCCATGTCATATGGCTCTTACGTAACGCTTGTGACATAAATGGAACTAAAACAGCCAATAATAATTTTACAGCAGTATTAATTATCCAATCAAATGCATTGAGAACCCAAACTAACTGATTCTGAATTCAGATTTCATTCAGAACAGAATTTACTTGCTTTCTGCATTTCGGCACAGATAAACTGCTGCTTGCTACTTTTCTTCTTATCGCAAATCTATCCAAAAAAGAAGTGTTATTGAAATAGGCAAGAATTAGAATTTCAAATTGTTTGTGGCCGCCACTCGAATTGCATAGATTTAGAGTAAATGTTAACTTCATACTGAAATTCCTAATTTTTAGCTAAATTTGCACTATTAATAGAAGTTATGTTCATTTAGTTAAATCTTTGGCCTTTTGCAAGTGAACCAGTTTAGATAATTTATTGTGGTAACATTCGAATTAGACGCTTTAGGTTTTAGTAAGATATATATGAAATGTTTCAATTTTTATTTATAAATCAATCTAGTGGGAAATTAGTTATAATCTTTGTCATGATGAAAAATATGAAATGTTTCGTTTCTTTCATAAAACACTTCCAATGACGTGCCATTTTAAGCATCAAGTTATATGAAACTGTGAACGTCAACAGCACTCGAGAGCTGCGAATTTTATCAGAAATTATATTCTTGTCTGATTTAATTTTCTCTTTGGTTCTTTAGTTTTAACCGAAAAAAAAAAAACGCAGAAGTGATTTCAAAGGAATTACTTTTAAATGATTTAACAATGCATTTCGTGTACCGTTATTTCGTTATCTCTACTTGAAGTTAACGTTTCTTTCAGACCGAACTCATACCATCCGAAGTCCTCAACTTAAGAGAAAACGAGTTATTAGCTGAGGAGCGCTCAATAAGGAAGACTAATTTTACGAGTACGGAAAATTTATTTCTTTGTTAATTAAGCGCATCTTTTAATTAATAGACAGTATAACTATTTGGTGCTTATATATTGTCATAAAGGAGTTCTATAACAGGATTACGCTGTTTTACAGCAAACTAGTTTGTAAAATTGCTATTGATCTGGAAGTTGAAGTTAAGTCCTTTAGACCTTATTAGACATGTCAGCGAGTTATCGCTACGTTTGCGATATTATAACAAAATCCTAAGAAGGTTTAAATAACCTTTTTATTTGATCTGAAAGTTTTAACATAAAAGGCACGACTTGCGTTACAAACAAACCACATCTCGTGGGATGTAAATTTAGTAATAACAATAAAATACATTTAAATGTTCCTAAAGTAGTCTAAATAAATCACAGTCAAACAAATAAGCTATAAGCTAGCTCAGATAATTTACGGTCATGAAAGGTTTAAGTATTTGTTGCGAGACAAAAGTCGGTATACAAAAGTCGGAATAGTCAGTTTTAGATTAAGCTTGCGAAATTCCAACATACCTGAATACTAGTTAATTTGTCTTGCTACAGTCTCTTTGAGTGAAACCCAGTTTGTTTCCCAAAGAAAATATTATCGCCATATTGAAGTATTAGCTACGGATAATCCCCTCAGTCCTTTTCTTTTTGACATCTGCATATACTATTTTAAGATCAAATTATTTGAGAACCTGTCCTTTCGTCTCTGAATTCGCTATGTAGAAGAAACTTTCACGCATTTTGATGGTAATAAAGAAGTTTTCTCGCAGATTTTATCAGTTATGAATTCGATTGATCCAGCCATTCAGTTCACTTTTGAAACCGAATCTGGCAATACTCTTTCTTAGACGAGAAGCTTCTCTAAAAGTGAAATCTCATTTTGTATTCTAATATCCATAATCTTTGTGCAGGCATACTGAACATTCTATACAGACTATTAAAACATAATGCATATCCCATAATGGATATTTATTACTCTTGTAAACAAGATCCGTACTTATAAGAAATAATAGATAAAAGACTGAAAGCAGAAAAATATATTTTCCTGTTAAAACTCTTCTTTTATGTTTGATCTCCTTAAAGACTTTTAGTAAATATCAGATATTAGACCAATTAAAATTAAATTGAAGTGTATAAAAGGAAATGGGGATATAAATTTATTAATTTTCATGCATTTCTAAATTTTAACTCAAGTATTCTTTGTGTCTTGTTTTATTATAAAAAAAATAAAAGCACTCATATTTAGTACAACTTCCAAAATGATTACAACCGAAAACACGTGGTAAAAACATCCCGGACGAAAATGTCGTGGAGAAAACAACGCAAGGCGAAAACGTCGCGGTCCAAAACATCGTGGGAAAAAAGAAAGCAAATAGAAAACATCTTATTTCTAAAACATCGTGGTACAAAATATCGCGGTCGAAAATAAAGCGGTTCAAAATCTTCGCAGTTTAAAAACATCATCGCGAAAATATAGTGTTAAAAAATAAAGTACCTACAAATCATCGCGCGACGATAAAATCGCACACATGCGTTTTTCAAATCCCATACTGACATATTATGTAACTGACTTTCATCATAACTAACAAATCGATATCCAAAAAATTGATTGCATGCTATACATGAAAATGTTAACAACAATTTAAGAATAAACGAAAACAAAAAAAAATATTAATTTTTACTAAATTGTTTCATAAGAATAAATTGAATTTAATTAAAAAAATTAAATATAAATATAAATATAAATATAGGAAGCACTTCCGCAGAGAACCCGGTAAATGTAAACATCGCCAACTTGTTTTGTCTGCTAATTTGAATTTACATGCTCTAAAAATCACGTTTGCAAAATGTCACGTTTACGGCTCAGCTCATCGTCGATGAACGGCGAGCTTGGCGAGTAAAAATGCAACGGCGCCAACGGGTTCTTTCCCGAAGCGCCAACGGGTTCTCTGCGGATGAAAACCCTAAATATAAATATAAATACATATTTAATAAATACATATATAAATATATATTCTTTGCGCCATTGCTGCAAGGAATGAAATTTAAATTTAAACAAATTTAAATTCTTAACAAATACGTATAAAAGTAAAAAAAGAAAATTTAAAATTCTAAAAAAAGGAAAAAAAGCCGAAATAATTTAAAATAATTAAAAAAAAAAAATGTGCAAAAATGTAAAAGATTTTTAATTCTTGAAACTAATCTACAATATCATTTAAATTCAGAAGCATAAGCAAATCAAGTGCAAAATCTATCCATGAAAATAAATCTACTAATTTAATAAATTAAAATTAAATTAAAATTAAATTAAACAATTTTTAAAAAATGCATATGCGAATGACCGTAGAGTAGGCAGGAGACAGACTTATCAAGGGGAAGTTGCCTCCAAACCTAACTCCCCAATCATTCAATTCGTGTTTCGTCATTCATGCAGGCAAGGGCTAAAAGTCAAAACCAAAAGTAATTCCAATAAAGTGGTACCCTTAGAAATTAACATTTAAGTATTAACATTTAAGAATTAAAGTTCAAAAAGGAAAATACTAATGAAGTCTTTTGAGTAACAAGCAAGTAAAGTCAAGAATTAAACTTTTTCTTAAAAAATTAAATTTTTTAAAATTAAATTTTTTATAAAATAATAATAAAAAAAATCTAGAAACCAATGTATTTTAGAAATCCTTGTCTACAGAAACTTCCCCTATACGAATATGCATATCAATAAAAAGAAACTATAAAAGAACTATACATAATCCATATAAACCAATAAGAAACAAAAAGAACTAATTACAATTTTTAAAAAACAAATATATATTTAAAATATAATTTCATATTTAGAAAATACTTAGATACTACATAAAAATTTTTTAAAAAATACTTAAAGCAAGTAAATAGTAAGTTTTAATTCTAACTTACCTACTATAGGAGTGTTGGGGTCTGCAAAAGTGTTGTGAAAGAGAAGTAAGTGTGTTCTTCAAATTATATAGATGGCGCTTATGTAGGTAAAGTTGAGTGTCAAGCTGCTATCTTTGTTATAGTAAAAATTTTTTTGTAAACATTAATATTAAAAATTAAATTAAATTAAAAATCCTAAAGGTAGTAATATCAATTATTTAGGGAGTTAAGTAACTAAGCCAATCAAGAGATGTAAGTTTGCTTGAAGGAAATTAAAGTGAAGTGGTATGTGAAAAAAATGTAAACTGTTTGTAATTTGAAATGTGTGTTCTGTTGAAAAATTGTGAAAATTGTTAAAAAAATTAAGTGAAAGATATTTTGCGTGAAAATTGCAAAAAAATTAAAGTAATTAAGAAAAACTGAAATGTTTTAATATTAAAGTTTTAAAGTAAAATTTCCCAAAATTTTTTTGAAATGAAGTAAGTCCTTAAAAAAACCTCTAAAAATTCCCAGAAATTTCTCAAAAATTCCTTTAGGAAGTTAAATAAAACTTAAATTTGATGAAAGAAAATATTAAAAGTTTAATGAACTTGATTTCAACTGGTATATCAAAACTTAACTAAATACTGGCTAAAGTATGGAAAATTAGAAGAAGGAGATTAAAATCTTCACTCAATTCGGGCTATAATTGAGACTTTTGAAAAGAGTTGGCCCTTTATTAGTAAAAGGAAAGAATCCAGTATTGATTAAATATACATATTTACAAAATATTTACAATAAAAATTTACAATAATTTCTCTACTCTTTTATATATTTTATTATTTTTATATCTTTATATCTTTATTATTTTTACTAAAACAATATCAGATTAACAAATGTCAAAGAAAATAATTTGATAATTAACTAAACAATTTTTATAGAGGTAACTTCATGCAGTTATTTTTCTTCCTTTTTCTAAGCACTTTTAGACTGTATTTATTCTTCATAAAAAATTATCAGTAAAACTTTATACAAATAGGTTAATTTATTAATGACCTTTGTTAATCAACTATGTAAATTTAAAATTCTATCAAGTTCTATAAATTGCATTAATTTTATTCTCATTTTCAATTTTTGAGTTTCCTTCTTATTTTTTCAGCAAAAATTCATTAGTTCATTCAAAAATATGAAATGTAGAATTAAAAGAATCCCTCTTTTATTCTTGCGCTCCCAAATCATTATGCGAACAAGCATTTACATCTTTTAAAACTTGAAAACGCATGCGTGCGGTATTATCGTCACGCGATGATTTGTAGGTACTTTATTTTTTACCTAGATATTTTCGACGACGATTTTTTAAACTGCCAAGTTCCTGAACCGCTTTATTTTCGACCACAATATTTTGTACCACGATATTTTAGAACTGCGCTGTTTTCTCTTTGCTTTTCTTTTCTCCATGATGTTTTGTACAGCGAAGTTTTCGCCTTGTGTTATTTTCTCCGCGAAGTTTTCGTCCGCGATGTTTTCGGCGGACACCTCCAAAATACCGAGTGAAGAAATATAAATTTGTTTGTGGTTAATCTTTGCTATGTAACTTACATACAAGGGCATCTATATGTTTACATTTTTGTGATTACTTTAAAGGTTGTGGAACATGTATATCATTCAATCCAGAAACAAATGATTTATTTCTGGTTGGTAATGAAAATGGACTCATTCAGAAGTATTCTAATTTGTCGACTGCTCAGTACTTGGAAACCTACATAGATCATAAGAACGTTGTGTACAACGTCCAGTGGAATCCCCATCATTCTCGAGTATTTCTGTCTTGCAGTGCTGATTGGACAATAAGAATATGGGATCATTGTTTGAAGTAAGTGGATGATGTTCTGACTTATCTCGACTGGGATCCAGATTAAAGAAACTAAAAAAAATTGTGATAAAATAAGTACATTCTTTTACCGGATAACATGTAAAAATATAGTGCATTATTTACCGATCTGAAAATGAATAAGGCTATTGTTTCATCCTCGGAATTTGCAAATAATTTCCCAATATATCCAACGTAGCAAAAGCTCTTCTCTTATTTAATCTAAAAAAATTATTTACGAACAAACCATAATCATTATTATATAAAAACAGATAACCTATTATAATAGAAAATAACACTGTTTCGTTTGAAAACTGAAAAATATTATCTATTATTCCTTCCAAATGCATAATGGAATGTATAATATAAGGATTCTCGGGATAAAAGTTCCTAAATGAATTTGCTGAATATTAGATAAAGATGTCGCATTTGACTCGCTAAGTCTACATTCTACTATAACAGACGAACGTCACTGATGCCTTTCTTATATAAAGAATAATGGCGGATAAGGCCTAATTTAATACTTCCTAATTTCTTCACATATTACCGATTTTTATCGCATAGACAGCTAGTTACTAAATGCTATATTTCTAACAGATACGCAGTAAATATTAACAAAAATAAAATTAGAAAACTTACATTAGCAGATGACACAAACTTCAGTACTCCTCAGATATATTTTCTGCATTAAAAAGCATAGCTCAAAGCGATCATTAAAGGTTTTTTCGTCATGAAACGCAGAGTTTGCTGTAAATAATATAGTGTTGAAATTTGAATAAAAAATTAGGAATCTTCAGTCACGGGAACATCTCTCATAAATGGTATTGTTTCAGACCCTAAAGTTCGTAAATATTGGACATTAGTTTTATACTGTGAGATAGCAACAGTGAAAAATGAAAAGACCGGACTACTGATGTTTCTAATGTCATTAAAAGAACTCTGATAGGGACACTACATGACTTTCTTGTACACCCATTAAATTAATTACTCTTACTTAATTTACTAGTCTCGTGAGGCAAGTTAAAAGGGATATCAAAAACGCAAATTTTATAATTTCCAGTCAGTGTCTCCCTGCTCCCAGAACTCTTCAGGACCTGAAAACTGCATTACTATGGCAGAGGAGTGAAAAAAAAAAATGCCTCATTTCCGTTTTCAATGTAATTATTTGTATGACCGTCAGAGGGTACTACATCCCTTATTGGCCTTCTTTTTTGTTCGATCTTGCAACCTCTGTTAAAACCTTCCTACACCGATGAGCTTAATGCACGATTATGCCTGTTACCATAACTGTTGTCTGTTTTATATCAACCTATGTCCATATCAAATTTCATTAACATACGATCATCATTTAAAAAAATAATCAACCAAATGTAATAATTACCTTAATTTTGAATACCAGTGTAACTATATTTACTACTGAATAACTATCAAGTTTTCAAAACAGCAAGCTCAAAATATATTAACTGGCGTCGCAAAAGTTTACTTTTATTTTGTGAGAAAGAAAAATTTCTGTCAATAATTTTAGAATAACATTCATTTCGTTTTGAGAAAAACTATTATTGCACATTTAGCACTAACGATTTTGAAAAATTGCATGGTGAATGCGATGCATAGCGGTTTATATCTACTCATGATATCATTTGTAAAACTTCTTGCTCTTTTCTGATTCTTGATTTAGTGATATTAATATATATTTGTGTCACTTTAAGAAAGTATTTTTATAATAACTGAAATCTAATATTAGTTACATTATATATTAGAAAGTCTGTATTTATATTTGACTTGCTCAACGAAGTCAAAGATGTAACCTGGGCTCCATTCTCTTCTTCTCTCTTCGCCGCAGTCACAAACGATGGAAAGGTAATATTTCAACAAATAACAATCAGAATAATATTCTCATTAAAATTTAAACTTTAATTTTATAATATGTCTAATTATTTGTTTTTATAGAAATATGCACAAAATCTGAAGATGCGTAAATTAATATATTTTCCGTTATGTAAATATATTTCGATTTCACGTTTTTGAAAGAGATTTAGAAAATGTTTCCCAAACTTATCTTTTCTTCTGATACAATTAAATTTTATGTCAAATCATTTAAGTTTCATAAGAGAAGAATCTCTAATCTGACTTTCTGTTTTGTCTTACTATTTCACGCATAATACTCAGAATGTAGGCTTCCCACGCTTTGCGAAGTAAAGCATTGCCGTGGATACTTTTCATAAATAGAAATGACATAAAACAAAGAAATAATTCATATTAATGCAATTGGAAAAGGTCTTTGAGCGTTCTCATATATAAAAGAAAAAAATGCGAAGTCATACATATTAACAGTGCTGATGATTTATAATAAATGATCTATTAGCATCTAATCTTCATGCCTCCAATTTCTGTTGGCGCAGGTGCTCTGTTAAAAGCTGAAGTATGTTGCGCTTTGATTGATACAAAAGCCTTCAAATGCATATGTCTGACTGTTTGGAGCTATAGCATTTTTTACTACTGCACAATTATTCGTAGCTAGACAAAACATTTTATAAAAATACCTTAAATCCATGTACTTTTTCACAATTAATCATACTTTTCCACAATTATTGTGTAAAACAAATGATGAAACTTTTTATCGTAAAAGCAAAAGTCCATTTCCGGTTTCTTTTATTAAAAGATATGAATTTAGTCCTATAAAAGCTAAATTTAGTAAAATAAGATATTACTTGCACTAAAATTTCTAGGTTTGCAGTTACAGCCCTACTTGAAATATCTAGTTTCACCATAGGGCAAATAATAGGACAGTAAACAGCTTCTTGCTTTGAATGCTTATCAGTTGTAATAAGATTTTTTTTCTTTGCGAGAGATGTGCCCATTGGGTTACAGCCGAAAACACCGCAGACGAAAACGTCGCGGAGGAAACAGCAAAGGCGAAAACGTCGTGATACAAAACATCGTGGGAGAAAATAAAGCAAAGAGAAAACATTGCAGTTATAAAACATCGTGGTACAAAATATCGTCGTCGAAAATAGAAGCGGTTCAAAAACTTCTCAGTTTAAAAACATCGTCGTCAAAAATATCGTGGTAAAAAATAAAGTACCTACAAATTACTGCATGACGATAATATCGCGGACATGATTTTTAAAAATTTAATAATTGCAAATGGATATTCGCATATTGATTTGTGCGCGCGAGATGGAAAGAAGGATAATTTTCACATTCATACTTTTTATTAATTAATACATTTTTAAAAAAGCAAAACAAGAAATTTAAATAAAACAAGAAGTAATTTTCATTATAAGACTATCAGATTAACAGAAGTGAAGAAAATTATTTTATAAGTAGCAATTTTTTACTTATTTTTCTTTTTCTATTCTTTTTTAGGTAATACTTTTCATGAGAAATTACCAGTAAAACTTATTAAAAATTTTTTATTAATAACCTTTGTTATTTAACTATGTCTGTTTGAAGTTCTATTAAATGCTATAAATTGCATTAATTTTCTATACTTAAGTTTCCATTTTACATTCTCAGCAAATATTTATTAGTTAATAAAAAATATGAAAGTAAAAATTATCCTTCTTTACATCTTGCGCTCACAAATCATTATACGAGTTTTTATAATTATTATGCAATTATTAAATTTTACAGTTATTAAAGCCCAAAAAACGCATATCTGCAATGTAATTGTCATGCGATGATTTGTAGGTACTTTATTTTTTACCACGATATTTTTAAATTGCGAAGTTTTTGAACCGCTTTATTTTCGACGACTACGTTTTGTGCCACGATGTTTTAGAACTGCGACGTTTTCTCTTTGCTTTATTTTCTTTCACGATGTTTCGTACCATGAAATTTGCGCCTTGTGTTGTTTTCTCTGCGACGTTTTTGTCCGCGATGTTTTTGCCGCGATGTTTTCGGCGGACACCGACCATTGTCTTTGTACACAGTGATCTATCTATCTATAACAAGTAGTCATTTAAGAAAAGAAAATCAGGAAATAATCTTTCGGTTGCAATTTTTAGAGAATATAGGAACGATTTAAAACTAATTGCTGAAGACAATTTTATGTACCTGAAACTTTAAAAGCAGAGTAAATAATTTAAAAGGGGATAGATTTTCTGAGTTTCTTTGTCTTTGCATTATTACGTGTAGAATCACACTGATGTTAGATTTTTAATATATTTCTTCCATTAAGCTTTCATTCAGTAGGTCTGAAGGTCCACCAGCGGTAAAATCGCCGAAAAATGGTAGTTCGGTCCGAGGTTCGAATCAGAAGGCGCTCAAACCCGGAACGGCTGCTTTTGTTTGCTGGAAGAGTCCAAAATTTGTAGGTATGATACTTGAAAGTAGAGATGAAGTAGGAAGAGAGGAAAAGACGCTGCATCATTTCCGGTTCCTCCTTTGTGAGTGCAGCTGGCGTTTTCCCGTTAGTACGAATTAATATTTATTATTCTTATTTTTATTGATCTTATGCTCTTTTTTAATTTTGATTACCTAATTTTAAAAATTCTGCGTTAAATTTAAATAAGGTCTGGAAAGAAATTATATTTGTTCTTCATACAAAATGGAATTAAAACTTAAGTTTTCTTTCACAAGTGAACACAATACTCTTTTCGTATAAAAATAGGTCTTTTAAAGCTCCATCAAAATATATCATACTAAAACACATAATTTATTTTGTGTACCAGATTAAAAAAAATGTTAAATAATTATGTTTTGTTGTTATCATATTAACGATAAATATTATAAATATTAAAAATTTACAGTTACAGTTTTCTACAATACCTCAAGTAAATAAAAACTTTACTTATTATAACTTCATGTAATACTCAGTTACTTTACCGAAATAAGAGTTCTAGTAAATAGATTTCGTTGTAATAAACAAGATTATGTAATTTCGCCAAAACGTTATGCTTTAAGAAAATTAAATAAGCATAGAATGCGTACAGTTTTACATTTAAACAGGTAATTCTCTTCGAGATATTATTTTATTTCATGAATTGATAAAAATTAATCCGTTCTTAAACAAAATGTTGAATAAAGCACAGAGCATAAAAATACTTAAGTGAAACTCCTTCCACGGTTTAGGAAAAGCCAGCAAGCATATCTCTAGTGCCCACTAAAAGCCATTCCGCGATCTAAAACTCTTCCCGTTGCAAGACATTCTGGAACCTTTCCTTTCTTTTCCTCTTACCTGCGGCCCACCAGCGGCCGAGCGGTAAAGTCGCTGAACTCTGGTAGTTCGGTCCGAGGTTCGAATCCCGCGAACGGGCTGGCTGCATGGGCGTTTTCGTGGTTTTCCCCATGTGTAACGTGTATACGAGCCAGTTTCCCTTAGAAAGTCCTCCACGAAGGCATCCCTCCTCTTAGGCAGATAGCCTTCAAGGCTTTGCCATAATCACACACATACACACACACACCTCTTACCTGCGTCAATTGACTCGCCCAGCTAACAAAAGCAGGCGTTCCGGGATTGACGGTCTAGTGGTTCGAATCCCGCAAACGGGTTGGCGAGTGGGCATTTTTGCGGTTTTCCGAATGTGTAATGTGTATTCGATCCATTTCTCCTTACAAAGTCCTCCACGAAGGCATCTCTCCCTTTCGGCACATAGCTCTCGAGCCGTTATTATATATACCAAACCAAACTAATCCAGTAGGTTTGAATCTAGTATTTGATGTGCTTCGAACTGCTTTCATGTCTTGATTTAATTGATCTCTGCGGTAAAATTTACGCACTACACAAACAATTCAAACATAAGAATAAAAATACGGTAAAAAGTTTGACTGTAGATTTATCTTCATTGCAGGTCCATGTATTCGATATATTGTTGAACCGACAACAACCAACTGCCAGCTACACGCTGAGTAGCTCGAAGAAAATCGTGAACTTAACTACTGTACAATTCAATACCATGAAACCTATAATTATGATTGGAGATGACAGGTAAGGTATTTAAAAACTAATTTTTAACAATATTTGATGTACGTTTATTTCCTTTTATTTATCATGTTCTATTTCTAAAAGTTCCCAATATTTTTTATTTATTTTTTTTTTTTTTCATTTCCTTTACAGAGGAGCTGTGATTTGTTTTAAACTTTCTCCTAATCTGAGATCATCTTTGAAAGTAAGTCAGTTTCCTTCATAGAATTTTAGGATAATATAATAATGAACTCGTACAACGTAATAGAAGAAAATTAATATAGAACACTGGTTCGTTGATAAAATGCTCTGAAATATGTTTAAAATTTCTCCAGAAACAAAGAAAAAAAAATATGAATTTAAGGCTGTTGAATTAATGGTGTAAAAGAAGCGAATTAGAGCGATAGTATAGTTTTGGACGAATGCAGCCTAGGTACGAGTAGAAGCAGCTGAAATTATTTGCAAGTACAATGACGCTTTTGGCTCGCATATTTTTAAAGAATGTTCGGTTCAATGGTGAATCCAAAAATCTAGCGTTAGAGATGGAAGCTTTGACAGTGTAGAGTTCATTTGCAGTTGATTACAACCTAATGAAGGCGTTAAATGAAGATTCGCGTAAAAAAATTTGAACCTCTATATAAGAATTACACGTGAGTCATCCCACAGTTACTAATCGCTTAAGCGGCTAAGAAGATCAAAGCAAATCGGTAGATAATTACCATGTGAATTGAATAGTGTTTCCAAAAACCACCGCTGTTTTTATTTCTTCTGCACAATATCTGTAATTCATTTCTCAATCGCATTGTAAAAAGCAACAAAATAATTTATTCTCTATATTCTAAAACAGCAGGCGTTATGCAGAAAGTTTGAGTAAAAATAAGACTCTAAAACATTACCCAAAAACAAATGGGTATCCAGAGAAAGTTATTATGGCTGTCTAGTATTAGTTGGCAACACAAAAACAGAGAATTATTTGCAGGAAATAAGGAAAATGTAGTAAGAATTTTGAGGCTTTGCTCAGTCACAGAAGTCTAATCCCGCTGCACAATCTCTACAAATTAAACATTGTGGATTACGAAACTTTAATTCACCGTGCACGCCGAGACTCAATAAATCTCATTTTCGTGGCCGTTGAATATTAATGGTGGCTAAGACTTCTGAATACTGGCAGCCGAGTTCACTCGGGTTAGAACTTAGGAGAACGGGCTGGCTGCGTGATTGGTTTATCGTGGTTTTCCCCATGAGTAACATGAATATGAGCTAGTTTCTCGGTGTCCGTCGAAAACATCGCGGACGAAAACGTCGCGAAGAAAACAACACAAGGCGACAACGTCGTGTTCAGTAGCAGTTTTCTTTGACTTATTCCAAATAATACATATGAATATCATCTAAACAGCCATGGGATCCAGAACAGCCATGGGATACTACCAAGCTGTCGCCCGTCAAGCAGCCCTACCAACAGAGAATTATAATCTGGCGTGCCTTTCATTTGATAGTCAGAACCTTTTAGTTGTCGTCCAGAATACCCTTACAGCACGGCATTACGTCGATGATATTCTAAGCCCATTTGTATTGCTCATTGTTTCGAGGCTCTCGGACTCATATTTAAATACGAGAATGCCCAGTCTCATCTTGAACTCATTTCTACTGATTTTTTTCGTGGTTGTAAGCACTTTCCCGGGCAGTTACATTATCAGATATCTTCTCAATACAGCTTGTCTGGGTGTTGATGTGCAGGTACCTCCGACAAACGTTAGGAACTCGCTAATCTAACAGAGCAGTTGGAGACAGTTTGCCTAGAGTCTCTTGAGAAATGATACGCCAACTCCATGTTAAATCCTAAGTCCATGTTAAGTCAGATAACAGATTTCATAAGGGTCAGAGGTGAGACAATGCCTTGATTTATTCGATATATATAGATGTGTGGTTTTAATAAAACATTCAAAGACTTAAAAATGTGAATCGTTTCTTTTTCCAGGCATCACATCTATGGATTTCGTCCCATTTGGATAATATACGTTCTTGATGCGTCTTTTTCCCTCTTAGAATTGCTCTACAGAAATCAAGACAAAAAAAGTTATTCTGATTTTTCGAATGGCCTAGTAGTCCGTAGTACAAGTTGCTCTACTGCTATTCAAGAAATTCTACTAATATACTTATACTAGTAAACTTGGAGTGATTTTTACATCCAACTAACAAAAATGAGATTTTGTTGGTTTTTTGTTTCTCTCTCTGTGCAATACAAATCTAAAAAGGCTTAAGATTAGTTTTGCGATGCTTCGCAGATGTTAGGCATATACTTAAGCATAATTTGACGTTCAGAAAATTATTATTATTATAAGGTATTTCTCCCACTTTCCTAGCGTGCCTTCGTAGTGCACTCTGGCCCGGTATTCCAGAGGTCCGTGGTTCGATTCCCGGCGAAGGCGTTTGCTATTTTTCATCTTTTCTGCTTCCAATTAACCTAATGAATCTACATTATGACATCTTTAAGGTAATATTTTAATATCCCTTCTATTAGTAATGTGATGTAAATTTCACTGTTTTAGTATATAAATCTTTCTCAACTCCTTTCAGAGTAGAAACATTTCAGAAATTTAATATATTATGCAGCTAGAATCGTTCCCATTCGAAATGCTAGCTTCTGCTTACTTTGCACATTCTTTTCTTGCGCGAATGCAAATATTTCGTTAAAAAATATTTCAAGTCATTAATTACCAGTTATTCCATAATTTACCTTTTAAAAATTTTATTAAATTGCTAAAATTCTAATTTGATTTCTCAATTTCAGATCCAATCTGCTTTATTAAAATATATGTTATGTTTCTAAAATTTTATGACTTGATAACTTTTAAAAAATTTAATATGCATACGCACGGTGTGTGCCGCGCCAGCTCCTGTGCTACATACACATATATTATGTGAATAAATGCTTGGTTTATTTGATTGTGTCAAAACGCGAAGGTTATCTACCTAAGGGTACAGACGCTCTCGTGGAGGACTATTCCAAGGAATACTAGCCGTATGTACGTTACAGATGAAGAAAACTACATAAACGCCCATGTAACTAACCCGTTCACCTAGCATCGAATTCAGGTCGAACTGCCAGTGTTCAGCAACTGCCGCCTGGATGGTGTAGTGGTTAAAGAGAGCCTTCTGTCGAAGGGCCCGGTTTCGAAACCCGGAGAATGCATGGATGTTTGAAAATGTATAGTGTCTTTGCGTCATGGGGGCACTCAAATACATTGCAGGCCGAAAATCTTCTCGAGAGGTTGTTGGTAGCAAAAGAGTGGTGGGAGACCCTCGAACCCTCCTCCCCGGGTTCTCTCCATCAAAATTAGAACGGAACTGAGCGAAATCGTATTGTCCCTGTGAGGTGCTCAAGGCTGTTGCCAACGACAGGCATAATCTTGCTCTCCTTGGCACGACGAATTTCGTGGCAAAGGGAGCAAGATTCTGTTACTGTCAGACAAATGAGATAAGTCACAACACACAAGAACATGTTCAGCAACTTTACCGCTCAGCCGGTTGTGGGTTCTTTTTGCTAAATTTCCTTTGATGCATTTAAAGAATAAAAATATAAATATAAACAAAAAGTGAAGATACCGCCACGCGGAGAAAAGCATTTTCTATACTTTTAGCTATTTTCCCTTAAATATTGCGTTTATATTTATCATTATGATTTTATGTTAGTAATATAATTTAAAACACTGTTATTTATTAGTTAATGAATTCTTAAATAGTGTGTAAATTTTATTATTTTTATGTTTAATTTTACTGTTAAAGCTCATTTAACAATAATTATATGAAAACTAGAAATTTAACTCTTTGGATGCTAAAATTCTTAAAACTGAACACGAAATTTGCTTATTGAACTATCTTTTATCATGTTTACGTATGTTAATATCCTAAGCAAGTATATTTCTTTCGTTGAAGGTGTTTCAAACCATAGAGAAAGCTAAATTTGCTGCTTTGGAATCAGAAAAAATGGAGAAAGTTCTAAAACTAGCAAAAATTCCAGAACCCAACGAAGCAATTACTTCAGAATGAAAAGAAATCGTCGTAAACAATGTAGTATGAGGAGAAAAGGTAAAGTTTTGTTCCAAGATGTCACTAAAAGACGAAATGGTGTAGGCAAAGAAATACCAGCACAAGAAATTAAGAATGATTTTATTGATGTAATTCTAGTGCAATCAGTTATAAATAAAAATGAAGTCCATACATAAACAGTTCGGTTCAAGAAGTCTTTCTGTGAATACAGCCCAAAATTATCTTTTAATGCACAAAAACATTAAATTGTCAAAAGCTGTAGGAGTGATGCTTCATAACACATAAATAAAAACTGACACATCCGATATAGGCTATGTGACACAAAACTATGTTATGAAAAAAATAAAATTGAAAAGTATGCGAAAACAAAAATTTTTAGGAAAAAATAATAATATTACTGAAATAAACTATAATTTTTTAACATTAAAATAGAATGTGATCGCTTATGACTCGTATACATGCATCGTCTTTTAAGCTATCAATATGATAGTTAATTAAAGAGTCAAGGTTCTATTCCTCCACCGATAGAGTCTTTAAAATAGTGAGTTATCTAAGAGAAGAGAGTTTCTCCGGGTAATTATTCTTCCAAGATTAAGCAGTAAATTCTGCATGGAATTCAAATCAGAAAATTCGGGTGACTGGTATATTTGCTTAGTACCTTCAATTTCAAGAAAATCTTTCACCAGATTTGCTTGGTATGAACAAATTGTCTTCTAAATAAGGATAGGTCACATTCACGTTTACATGTCAAGGCTTGTCAAACTTGATCTCGATAGCTCCGGCTGGATAGAAACCTAACGCCGCGCAAGGAAATACTTCCGTTTATCCTTATCCTCTCCATACTCTACCTGTACGGCCGTAACGATTACATTCGAGAAATATATTGCTAGAATATTTCATGTTCTTGACTTCCTTCACAAATAAACGTATACAAATTTAATCATATTTTAAACTGAACCTCAGTTCTTCAACAAAAACAATACAGATTTTATGAGCCTACAACGTTTGTTACTGGTAGAAAAGTATAAAGGTTTTAAATCGAAATGGCAATTTATTTTTATTTTCTTAAATACATATGCATACTTTTAAATATTTTTCCCGCTTGTAATATCTTTTGCAATCTCACCTGGTGTCGAGGTTACAATGATTTTCTTAGTGGTTCAGAATGGCAATAACAACAAAGGAAAAAACAGAAAAAAAAAAAAAAATCGAAAGGTTTCAGGTTTTAAATTACGGCTAAAGGGGAGTTTTTTAACTCTTTGTGTGTTACCTTTATTTATTAAACATCATGTTCTACGTTCTCAAACTATAAAATTCAGTTCAAAAGCAATATTGCAAATTAATTCTGAAATGAGCATATCTAGAATTTCCGATACAGAGTCTCGCGCGCTGGAGATAATGTTTTCCCCTTACAGTGTTGCCATTGCTCGTTTTTAAATCGTTTAGTGTTTTAATCAAAATTTCGTTGAAGTGTTACAAAATCTGAAATCGATAATAAAACAAATTTCAAATTCAAATTAGGGCTTCCACATTCCCATATTCTATGGAAGATTATGTTATTCAAATTTTGATACCTCTAAGTACCGTTATTTTATCACATTACGAGGAACATACATACATTTATGCAGATTCTTCATTATTTAATTTCTTTAAATATAAGGCAGGACGATAATATATGATGGCGACGATTTGAAAAGTGATACAGCCTTTTAAAGCTTTCGAACAAAATGCGAAAACGAAATTAATAGTCCTTCAGGGCAAATTACCCTTTTGGACTAAAAAAGGAAAGAAAGAGAAGATCCAAAAATTTAAAATATGTTTTACTATAGTTTTTTTTTTTTTTTTTTTTTGTGGAAGGCAAGATGTTTCTTTTTGTTAAATAAGAAAGTATGTAATTATTATTTTTCCAAATCTTGATTTTCAGAATATCGCCAGCGGCAGCTTCAAAATAATTATAAATTATTTTAGCAAATTCCAAACTATATTGTAGTTTTCTACATTGCCTTAGAAAGGCTTTTGTAAAAGTGCATCTATCAAGGGCTTGTGATCTGTCTATAAACAGTAACTTATCCTCCTTCTACTAAGTGTTTGAAATCTTTAATTGAAAAATAAATGTCTAGCAATTCACAGCTATAGGTACTATGGGTTTCGGCTTCCCTGTTCCGAGTAACTAAATCTCACTACAGGTCGACTCTGCCTTTGGGCACGTCGTGGAGGTTCAACCTCCACTATTACCCTCCAGCAGAGCCGCGCACCACCTGGATACGACACCAGGCAGCACCGGTCGTCTAATGCTCCTGCCAGTCGCTCGGGCGAGCCCGTCGCAGCGGGACATTACCCAGCGACCCCGGGGGAAAACCCCACGGGTTACTAGCACCACGCCGCGCTAGGACGTGCCAGACTCCGAGGCCGGCCAATAAGTGACCTTTCCCAGAGCCTTCAGAACCACCAAGTTCATAAATTTTATACCCCCGTGGCCGAGACTGCCTAGGTACAGATCCTAGCCAGTAGCTTCGCAGAGTTCTCTACGTCGACCCCCGGGGGGGGGAAGCTATAGGTACTATAATTTTGTTGCGCAGGATTCATTTTTTTTTTTTTTTTTTTTTTTTTTTTTTTTTTTTTTTGTAGTAAAATGCAATTGGTTTCCAGGAACTATTTTCATACTGTTGTAAGATTGCGCCTATTGACAAATCTGAAGCATCGGGAAAGAATCCGAGAGGGAAGTCAAGATTTGGGATAACAAGGCAGCATTTGTCTGATCATGATTGCACTTAGCAAATAGATGTTTTGCTCAGTCTAGAATATAGATAGGTAAAATAGCTTGTGTTTTAGCTTCATCTTTCAAATATTGACGATAAAAACTGATCATGCCGAGAAAAGGTCTTAATTCATGGATAGTATAAAGCAGTTTATAGTTTGGTATGGCTCTTACTTTTCGAGGTAAAGAACGTGAAATTTCGGGTGTTATAAAATAGCCTCAAAGCTCAATTAACTACTAACACCGATTTTGCAATATTAATTCTAAGATCATATTTGTTCAATCTGTCAAAAATCAAACGGAGGTGGTTTTCATGCCGTGCTTCGTCTGCAGATGCAACTTGCATATCATCTAGATACGGAGAAACAAAATTAAGACCTATTAAAACGTCGTGGACAAATTGTTGGAAGGTTACAGGGTCATTTTTTAGGTCAAAACTCATAATTAAATTCTAATAACCGAAAAGACGTAATTATAGCTGTTTCACACTTATCGTCTTCGGCAATTGGGATTTTAAAGAGGTCTGTTTTAGAGAAAATTTTTCACCTCTTGAAAAATGAATTGCAAATCTGTTCTGAGAATAGGATACTGATAGGAATTGTTTACATATTTAGATGTCTATAATCTTTGCATGATCGTAAAATTGCATCTTTCTTTAAAACTAGATGAAAAAGGCATTGCCCCCCCCCCCAAAAAAAAAACAGGACCTTTAGTTTTACGTTGTGTTAGGAGTTAGCGGAAGACTGAGTTTCGTTAAATTTTGATATTGTAACAACAAATTAGCATACTGAGAATTTTCATCAACTGTGCTTACTAATTTTTTTAAAGAAATCTGCACCGAGATGGTTTTATTTACTTTAGCTAGGAAATTAAAATTGGCTAAAGGCCTAGGTTGAGAGTTAAAATTTTTAAACCAAATGTCGAGATATTTGCTCCATTTGCAAGGTACAGTTTGAAAAATTGCATATGATTTTTTATTGACTCAGTAATAATGAATAAGTCAGGTCTTGTTATCGCAAGAAACCATAAACTGATTGTTTTATCTTTTACAAATAAACGATAGTTACGCCAATCTGTAAAATTTTCAGCAGCGGAACTTGCCACCAAATCAACTGTTATGAGTTTTCCGTTTCTTTCCAGGAACATGAACTCTTGAATTTATAGAATAAGACTAATTACCAAATTTAAAATAGTAGTAACATTATTTGCTAATCGGGATTAAATCCTTTTGTTGAAGGACTGGCGCTCTTATTTTAATCCAGGCTGCCGAAATTCAATCCTAGATTGCCTTCGAATAAATCAGTTTTTTTATTACTGAAAGCTTTTCACTGAAAGTGTTCAAAAATAAAATAATAACTCGAAATAAAGTATTCAAATAACTCTAATAATAGTATAACTCGAAATAAAAATATTGAAAAGAAATATAAGTATTTGTTATCTGTAATTGGAGAATAAACTTACAAAAAATGTATCTGCCTTTAAGGACAAAATATCTAAATTTTCATTGCGTACAACTAAAATTTTTAATCTGTTTTAACAATATACAACTGTTTTTTATCGTCATTCTGAACTACTAAAAAAAAAATATTGTAACCTCGACCCCAACTAACATCACAAAAAGTATTACAAACATAAAAAATGTTTATAAATAAAAATGTGCATATATTGGTAAGAAAATAAAAAATAAATTGGAAGCACTTCCGCAGAACACCCGGTAAATCTAAACGTCGCCAACTTTGGCGATAATAGTTCGAACCTGGTAACCCATCTGATTTATCCTATTGTCTTGTTCGAAGTTTGCAACCATTCCTCATGCGTTCATTTTGTTGAATTATCACTGTCGTTGTTCGCATTTGCAGATTTATATTCTTCTTCTCTTATTTATTATTATTTTTTCTGAATTCTTTTAACAACGAATAGATAGAAATATTTTCGTAGATATATGCCGGTTCTCGGTTCGCGATGAAAGGATGAAAATACGGCGGGAGGGGTGAATGCTAATTTGTAACACGGCAGTTCACGTTGTGTTCCTTAATTATTAACAGCTCTAAGAATCATGAAGTTTCCAACCGCTAAAATTTGTTTTCGTAGGCCGCAAAAATGTGCATGTGCATTTTAAATAATTAAGAAATGCTTTTATTTTTATTATTGGTTATTGTCATCTAAAATTATGTGAATAAATCCATTTTTATGGCGTAAAATTTTAACAAGATAATATATTGTTAATGCTTTTCTAACAATAACCTTTCAGAGGATGGCAGGTGTGACATAAATAGATGATTAAATTGAAATAAAAAATATTGATTATCTAAGATGAGAGAATAGTTCGATGCACCACCATGGTCATCAAAATTAGCAAACCACTGCTGGTATAAGGAATATATTGTTTTCTGTGTTAACTGGAATTTAAGACAAATTTTTTTCGGATATCACGCTTAACCGGTTAATTTCAGTATATTAATACTAATTTATATTTTTAAATGAATTTTTATTTTCGTTATAAATCCTTATATATTGTCTTATGCTTAATATATTCTTTTCTGTTCTAACTTGAATTTAATACAAATTAATTTTCGTATATCACGTTTAACCGGTTAGTTTTACATCTATATGCTTATTATCTGTGAATTTTTACTACCATATGCTTAATATATTGTTTTGTCTGCTAATTTGAATTTATATGCACTAAAAATCACGTTTACGGCTCGGCTCATCGTTGATGAACGGCGAGCTTGGCGAGTAAAAATGCAATGGCGCCAACGGGTTCTCTGCGGATGAAAACCCAATAAATTGACATTTCGATTTAAAAACCATTATAAATTTTCAACTTACTAGTTCTCTTACGACCTTTTTCTATGATTACCAAATCTATTTTTGTTGCTGATGGCGCCATCTACAGTTGATCTGGAGATACAAAAAGTATATCTAAAGAACAAGTTTTCGAAAATATTTATAAATTCCTTGCAAATTTTCTTGTAAAATTTCTGATTACTTAATTTGCTAATAACTACTCAAATGAAATTATATTACTTTGAAAAGAGTACAGAAACCTAAATTATTTTCGAAGTCACTCAAATCACAATGTTATCCAAATCATAATATTTATT